ACCACACCCCGAGCCTTTGACCTAAAGATCTGATCCACAATGCAGTGGAACAACGTGAGGAGATGGAGTCTCATGATAGTCGGTGACCAACAATAGGTTCATGCGCCATTTGTTTCCTCAGGATACTGGAGCCCATGTGCACCATTGGTTTGGAATGAGGGTTTTCCAACTCCCCCAGGTTGACTCACCGTATCCACCAACCTGGTTAAAGCGCCGGAAATTCGCTTTTCATCCTCTCAATTTCTTAAACAACAACCCCGCCACGAGAAGGCAGTGAGTAGGACTTTCCTAGCAGAGGCTATATACGCGTGGCTGTGTGAGACAATTTCGAGAGAGAGAGCGGACTCTCCCCACTCTCTGACGTACCAGGGCATTCGGGGGCCTCTCTAAAGAGAAAAAACACCTCATCTTTTGGCAGAAACCCTTAAAATGAAAACAATAAAAGAAGTGAGCCATCCACTGTTAAGTCTACTGCTAAATACTGTAGGGCCAGTGAAATGTTACTGAACCCTAGCCAAATCATCCGGCAGTCGAGTCACCAAATATCGAACAGATCATCAATCCCCGCCAAGGTCAAAGACAATCAACGCGCATCAGTTAATCATACGCTATGGACTGGCCCATGCTGCAGTGGTTCTACTTTCACTTGTATCTACTTTAACTAATATATTCCCATAATAACGTCTTTTGTGTTGTACAGTCTTCAGAGCATCCATGGTCCCTTGATACGTCGATGGGGCAATCCACTTAAGGTGGTGATCGCGAAGTATGACTTCGAAGTTAACTTGTTCGTTACACCATTGCCGTCTAACTCGAGTAGGCCTCCAATCATTCGACATAGATCATCAACGTTGATGGTCTACAATACTTTTACAATTTCATTCTAATTAATGACAAAAATTAATTGACTATTATAAAATTTAAGTGAATAATTGACTGAAATGAAAAAAGAATCAATTCCAGTAAACAAGTAGTATTTGTTTTAATTTTTTCTCTCTCCGATATATGAACTTTATTATTTATTACTTGGTAAACTTATTTAAATACAAGAGTTGAACTTGGATATTGACTTAGGGCGTTATTAAACATTTTAATCGATTTAAATAAATCTTGGTGGCGGCATCAATTTCTGTTTGAAAAATCACTCAATGGATTTTATTGCATTAATAATAGCTAAACAATTATATATAAACTTATTTAATTTTTATCAGAAAGGTAAACAGATGGAATATGTATATATATACATATGTATATTGTGAGCAAATAGGGAATATTGTTAATATGAAATTCAATCAAACCACTCGATTGCCACATCCAGATTCGGTCGAATGACTTTGAACTTATGACCCAATTGTTAAAATGTAAGTGATTTGAAACAGAGAGAGAGAATAACAGGCTTACTTACAGTGTTAAATATTATATTCAGTAGAGTGAATGCATAAATAAATCAGTTAAAATGAGAATAAAAGATCCCAGTCGCACAATTATAGTGGGTTGCAAAGATATCTTTGAAAAACATATGGTTTTTCCAGTAACAAAACGAAAGACGGAGAAATAGAAGAAGAGTGATAGAGAATTGCTACAGTCTATGATGTCAGTACTTTAATGAAAGAATTTTCTAAACTGAGTGATATGGAAGTTCAATATTATCTAGTCCACACTTATATAAGATGAAAAGAAAGAACTCCCAACTACATGAATTATAGTGACAACATAAATGTCTGAGTTTACTGATACAGCTTTTCTAGTTTTGCGTTAATTTAGTGTCTGGATGCGTCATCGAATTATTGAACAAGAGTAAATTCCTTATGAACTGCAAACCATTTTGCTAATGAGTATCTTCATAGTTGAAAGCATGAGTCAATTGAAGCTAGACCACCAAGGAAAACCTGGAAGCACTAGATGACTGTTTCGTCCTATTGTGGGCCTCGTCAACAGTGCGCATCCACGATCTCGCCTCGCGAGATTCCAACCCAGAACTTACTAGTCTCTCGCCAGAGCACTCAACCGATAAACCACTGAGCCGGTATCTGGTGGTGTTAATGTCTAAATTCAACTAATCCACGAAGTTGAGCAACCGTTCACCAATTGTCTTCAATGCGTTCCTATCTCACAACAGACGTGGTTGAACTCCACTGGTCACTGCTTTTCACTAGAACTGCAGGAAATACCTTTTGAAGTCAGCCTTTAGTGAGCATATGATTATTATTATCAGAAGGGGCTTTTGTGGAGATTTCACTATAGGACGAAACGGCAGTCCAGTGCCTCCAGGTTTTCCTTGGTGGTCTAGCTTCAATTGACTCATGCTTTCAACTATGAAAATACTGAAATCTCCACAAAACCCCTCCTGATAATATTGAGTATCGGCATGGATTAAACTTATGTTTATGGCTTTTTGTATAAAATTTTCAGTCTGACGAAGTTGAGTTTTAACTTATTTACCCCACTAATGTATTAGACGATAAAGGAATATAAAATCATTAACGTGTAATTAAAGTACTTTCATTTGAAATGCTTTCAAGGAGATCATAGCAGTAATTAAATTCAAGTTGAAATATACTAACTTGATGAGATGATAAATAAGTTTCTAGTTTATGAAATGATCAGTTTAATTCAGCATGAAAGACAGAAAAAATAATCCCACTGATATGAACTCATCTGTTTATAAAAAAGGGATAATTGAATTCTACATATCAAATCCACAACTGCGTAAACAATTGGTTAATTAGTAATTTGTTTGAATCCTATAGTGCTGTGACCTTGAAAATAAATTATTTCATCGTTAAAGATAGTCAAGTAGGAATTGTTACAGTCACGATTGATATAATAGACAGTAACTTATCAGTATTCAAATAGAAAAAAAGTTTTTTCTGTATAATTGTTAAGTAACTAAACGGTGTATATTCATATTCCTCTTATCATAAGCTTTATTTAGACCTACATACTATTATTACACGATTTACCATTCTAAAGTTATGCCCAGTTTATTAACTTCAGTCCCCCGCAACCCACTTTTGGCTAGATCTTATATAATATTATTTTCTATTTTAAGGTATGCTGTGTTTGATTTTATTGTATGTAAATCGAGTATGTTTGAAATACATGATTCATATCTTGGAGGCTGAGATTGATGTTGTCTACTCAACAGGCAGGGTTAGGTACGAAAAAGGACCGATAAGCACTCTAGACTGCTCTTACAGGTTTGTGCATCATTGTGTTCGGTCGATAAGTCACTGTTCTCTAATCGGCAGTATCATTAGGCTATATGTTAATAGGCCATAAGTCGTAACATTTGTTTTATTGGGGATTTTACATTATTTCAAAGTAAACTAGCACTAGTTAAAGGATCGTCTTCAATCAAAATGTAACAGACATCTGTTTCATTCTAGATTAATGCTTAACAGTATTGACGACGATCGAATTCAGAAAAACGTAAGTAAAAAGCTAGCAAACGTGGTTGCAAGCTAGTCACAATAGAGGAATGGATTTAGTGTTGAACAGTATTTTTAAATCCAGTATATTAACAATACTAACTAGCTACTTTCATTCAATGTTATTGAATGGTTACAACATTAGTAGTTAATCAATTAAACTTTAAAAAGTTGCAGACAAAGCTGCCACTAGATCTGATTAACTTAAAAGGAAAACTGGTAAGATGTATTGAATTCAATTGAGTCAGGCGGGTCATGTGATTTTATACTGCTAATGGTAATGAAATCACTATTTTCGTCGATTTTGGTGGTACTGTTTATTCTTAATTCAATAGGTAGGTGCAAACATAATATGCTAGACAAAATGGGTGGAAAGGTAATATTGTTTGTTATTGATGGGTTAGTATGCTATACTGTATTGCATAATAATAAAACCTATATGATTATTTTTATTCACAGTAGAGGTGATCGGAAATCGTCTAATATTAATGAGATTTTCAAATGATCTAGGTTGAATAATTGTTATTAAAAACCAGCAAGCAATAAACATCTGTTTTTACCTATAAGTCTCTCGATCAGCATTTAACCTTTAGACCACTGGGGTGGAATCCACTCATTCACGTGTCTGGTTCAAATCGATTTGCGATTTCGGGTAACTATTTTTATTTGTCTTCGGTGGATAACTGTCTCACACTAAGCACGATCGAACTTTACTGATCATGGCTTTTCACAAAAACTACAGGAATTACATCCCAAAATAATTCACCCGTGACCATGTATCAATCACCAGTATTGAGGGTTTATTGATTGTCATTGTAACTAGTGTGGCTCAACCGTGTCACGAATGAGATAGTTACACATCAATGACATCGGAGGATAGTTGTGCAGCATCGCAAATGAATTGAAGCTAGAACTGTAAACCAGTGGATACCGACCTAATGATCTAAAGACCAAGTGCTCATTGCGAGATCTGAAGGTATTGAATTCGATCCCTAGTGTGGCGAATGAGCATTAGTGATAACCCCAATACTAGGATGAAACCGTTTTCCAATGTTTCCTGACATTTATTTGTTGTTTGACTTAGTTCAGTTCGTGACCTCAGCACTTTTACTCATTCAGTAATAAAGTATATAGGAATTCACGCACTGTATCTGTAAATAATTCCCCAAAATCAATAGCTCTGTAATTGTTCAACATTGGATGCTGACTCATTTAGTTGAAGGCGGTCGGTCATGCATTTGTACCAGATCACGTTACAGAACGGCGTGGGAAGCATTTCCTACGATCATTAGACAGATTAGATCAGTCACTTCTCGATATATTGATAACCCATCAAATATATCTTTAAACCTCCTCGCTTCCAACCTTTGATTTAACTGAGTGGGTGCGATTTGATTACAGGTGTCACTGATAAAGAGTTGTCAAACTACAATACTGGTGGTATCTTCAGCACTATTAGGGTAATACTGGAACGTATTTATTGCTTAGCGAGATAAATTATTAATACTACTAATAATAACAGTAACAATAATTTAACTTATACACCAAGTATAAGACTTATGCACTCACCTTTAAGTTACATAGTTTTAACGGGATTCAATGACATAATTCACCTGTTTTATTTGTTTGTTACATTGCTTAAACTGTTGGGCAATATATTTATAATTTACTGAAATATTTATGAGAATGATAGTTTCTTATTTTAATTGATGCCATTTGTTATTCTGTTTTAGTTATAAGCTGGATTTGAATCTTCATTTTAAGTTTGTCTTGGTTAAAAGAGAGTACAAAATATAAATACTAATAAGAATTATAGTTATGGACATACTCTTGGAAAGAAATCCAGGACTCATGAAAAGAAGGTATTTTTCAAAGTACAATAAATTAAAGTATCTATTTAGTACTCTATTTTTTTCCAGCGGTAACGTATTCAGTATTCATTTCTGCTGAAAAAAGGAACTTATTCAGTGTATTTCTTGAAAATATTGATTTTAAAAATAAACCATCTCTTATAACTAACTTGATCTGAGGAATGCATTCTCGAAGTTTCGATTAAAACTTCCAATTTATAAAGCCAAATAACTTTAGGATCACAGTTCATAGTGAACAGTAAATATTGGTGACATTTCTATACTTGTTGATATATAATTACTTTTTCGTTTAGCAAAATACATTTTTGTTTTAATTGAATTCTATATAGAAGTAAAAGACATATTGCTGAAATATAATAAAAAGGTGAATGAGCTATCGATTGCTGTATCCTACTAAACAGATCTTCAAGTGGTACATACTCAGGTAAACTATCCACTTGAAAGAAAATTGAAGTAATTCAATAAAAACAAATAATATTATCGTCAGTTTTTTTGTAGATTCATCAATTAAAAAACAAAACATTTGAGTTATTAGACAGCAAAACATAGTTTTAGTCATTGCACAGAAACAAATATAAAAGTAAAACATATCTTCATAGTTGGAAGCGTGAGTCAATTGAAGCTAGATCACCAGGGGAAACCTGGAGACACTGGACGGCCGTTTCGTCCTATTGTGGGACTCCTCAGCAGTGCGCGTCCACGACCACGCCTCGCAAGATTCGAACCCAGGAACTACCAGTCTCGCACCAGAGCACTTAACCGATAGACCACTGAGCCGGCATTCGATAGTGTTTATGTCTAACTCCAACCAATTCACGTAGCTGGGCAACCGTTCACCAATCTCCACAAAACCCCTTCTGATAATAAAAACATATCTTGTTTGTTATTCCGTATTAATAAAAGAAATGGTGACAGTGAAACCTCCGCATTTTTAAACTTCCATCATATTTTAATAAAAAAATTATTTTATTTGTTACTTCATTATGTTTTTATACATAAGTTATCTTATACTATATCTTACACCACGGGCTAACCATAGACAATCGCTGAGAACTATTTAGGACTAGACAGATATTTTGTTTTAGAATGAGACTCCTTAGCAGTGAGCAACTCAACCCAGTATCTTAAGGTTTCTCAGCAAATGCTTGACCTTTAAATTACTGAGTCAGCACCTAGTGATTTACATGTACAGCTCCTAAAAATGTGATATTTCGCAACCACTATCTAATGCCATTGATGAGTAGTTGTCCCACTTCCAATATAGTTGGACTCCATTGATAACAGATTCTGATCAGAACTTTGAGAATTACTTCTCACATGATATAGAAGATATGTGAGGTTGAAATTATAGCAAGTATTTTCTTTCATTTTATTTATTTCGATTTCAATTCACGTATATATTTAGCCAAAAACCATACTTTAGTGTTTATGTGCCAGTGGTGCTGTTTAGCTGACCAGGTTAAAGTTAATGACTCAGTGTTCAAACAAGGAACCCAGTAGTTAGAAATCAAATGCTTTAGCGAATAAGTTAAATAAATCACAATAATACTAGGTAAGCTATTAGATTGAATCGGTAACTTGATATTTTAAAGTTAATTGCTTTTATTAATAAGCTGTTACTTCATAATAAGAAACATTTCCTGTTGTACTATTGTTAATTATATCCTATATGAACATAAAAGGTGTAGTAAACTATCTTCAAGATAATGCATAAGACTTCGTATATCAATAGTCCTGATAGCTGTTATTGAATGAATCCCAACGGTATACAAATTTCAGGAGACAATACGAAGCGTGAACTACAGTTTAATAATGAACACCGTAAATCACTGAGCCACAAGCACACAAAGCGAATTCGAGAAGAAATGCTTATGCAAGCGAGCAAATACAGAGTCGAATAGTTTGATAAGATATATATATATATATATATATATATATATATATATATATATGATGGCGAATGATTGATCGAGCGATTTAAGCAACTAATACCTAGGCTAGTAAGGAGGGTATGTGTATATGCTGTAACATGTGATCTGGCATGCAGACATAATAACAATAATCATATAAAAATATACAAATTGTTACTGTTCTAATGACGCTGTCTGTTAAATAAGTTAATTGAAGGACTTGATAGAATTAAACGTAAACAGACTTAAGTGTAGGTGAGATGCTATCAGGGGATAAATTACGTAAGTGCTTCTACGAATTACAATTACATTTCAGTTACAGACTATATTGTCAAATTAGAATAAACCTGTAATAGATATTGATATGATACTAGTAGATCGATTTACTGTAAAATATCAGAATTTGTAATAAAACTGTATAAATAGACAACAGTTACTGATATACTTTATTACGATGCAATATATATCCACTGTCCAACAGCATTTAATAAGTTTTCAGGTTGTATTAAACTGTATTAGTAAATTTTTTATACCTTAGCTACTACATGAAGACAAAAGTCGGATAGTGGCTAATAGTGGGATGTATTACTCATGTTTCTTCGTATTTAGAACTAGTCAGATGGATGAACCTGCATTTCAGTGTTTAATGGTAACATAAAAACTCATACAAATATACAGAATTCAGTTACAAAACATATTGTCGTAGTTATATTTCTTTGTTCTGAACTGATAAAATCCTTTCTGAAAGGGAAAAAAGCTAGGAATATAGAGGATCATTCATATCAATAATACCATCACCAAATTTCAATTTAAGATTTGAGGGCATTAACTAGTACATATTGTTGTACAAATAGCTAAATAATTCGGTCAAACATAAGAAGTTCCACAGAATATTAAATGTATAACTATTATTAGGGTTCTGCTCAATTAACTAGTAATAATTTTTGAGTAGTTTACCGCTGCTTAAATTTAAACTGGATTTCTTAATATGCAGTTAATTACTACAACTCATTTACCAAGTACAGATGTTCAGTACTATTTTAATTCATTGTTTGTTTGCATAAGGACTAGGTGATGCTATTACCCGACTAAATAAACTGATTTATATGACCATCTAGTTCGACCATGAGACTTGTTAACTGGGATCTAAATGATTTAGTCACTAAGCTACTGTTTCACAAAGATAATCTAATCACTTTGTTAATAGGATTTAAACTACAGAATACCATTAATTATTTCCCTATTAGGCTGAAAATCATAATATTGGAATTTGATTAAAAATTTATCTCATTCACTTAAGAATACTGGATAAGAACATCAAGTTAGACTAATAACTTTAATACATTATGTCTGTGAAAATTTTTCTGTCATGAAACATCAATCAAGCAATGATTAACTAAAAAAATATTGACAACATAGTGCTATTTGCCATATAATATATTTCAAAATACATAAATTTATGGCAAACATTCTACATGTTTCATTAGTGCGTCCAAATTCTTCTATGCAAATAACTATGAGGAGTTCCACACTAGGACGAAACAGCCGTCCAGTGCTTCCAGGTTTTCCATCGTGGTCTAGCTTCAATTAATTCATGATCTCAACTATTGAAATAACTATGACTTAATAGGTCCAGAGAGGTACTTTACAAGTGTGTAGTTTTCTATAGAGTACAAATTTAATTATCAGTATAGCGTTAGGGTAATATCCTACAGTTTAAATATTCGTTATAAACATTTCATTTTTTTGAAAAAAAATATGTGACAAACTATAAATGTATATACGACTGATTTGAGGAAACACTACTAATATCAGTTCGGGCACCTGGGCAATATCACGGCCCTCACACAAATCAAATGAGATTTGTGCGGCGCATATATATCTGGTGCACCTTGTACCAATGTTTATGTGTTTAAATAAATAATATAATTTAAACATCCAATAAATAAAAAAGAGCTCTATCAGCTTACTTATTTAATCACATTTATACACGATGAACTTCGATTGTCAGCAACAATATGCAGTTTCTTGAATTGTCTGTTCCAATTAGAAAGGAACTGGGGATATATGAATCTCAATTAAAGGCAAGTGTTTGATCAAATCAAACTTTATAACTTTTACTTATGTGACTGTTATGTATAATTTAGATTTCTGGGTAAATAATAATAATAATAAATACTTTGTATTATTTGAGCCAGATGGTAAAATGTAATTTCCCCGATTCATGGAGTTACCATAAATATTTCTGATTGGATATCGCAAACGAAACTCTGATTGGCTAATTTATTTCCTTCTAGTTAATTGTGAATTCCGTTACAGATAATGTAAACGTGATGTCAGATAGTTTTATTGAAAATCTGTCAGTTATGTTTATGTTTACTAATTAATATATTCAGATATGTTAAAATTAACTAAATTAGGACTGTATTTGAAGAGATCTTAGTTGTTTCAAAGAGCAGAACTCATAACAGCTGATGTATTTGAAATTATGATAAGCGGTTCAGGAAAATCCTAAAAGTATCCATCTTTCAGTATAGTTCAGAGTTGTACATATGATGTATTCATCTCAATCAATTTATAGAATGGTTATTCTGTCAAGCGGTGTAAGCATTCATACTTATATAACTCACATAGAGTTAAAATAATTGATCAGGATAGTTTTAATATAAAATATGACGACACTGATGCAAACAAGATATAAAAGCGTCTTATATTATAGGAGAAATACCAAGAAGTGGAGTCGATATTTGACGGTGTGCTTTCACCTAGCTAATATCAAGATTGAATACCAAAGAACATTCATTTCAGAGAATTAAATGGATCTACAGACAAGTCTGGAATATTTTGGAAAGACCAATTAATTTGAAAGATATATGTATCTGAAAACTGTTAGCAAAAACATGATCGCTTGATGTTAAACTCAACGTTAAATGTGATAAACAACACAATCAAGAACTAAAATGAGTAAATTCCAAAAACAACACAACACTGGATTGATTGATTATAATAAAAGTAATATATGTGCAATAAAATGGTGTATACAAAAATTAGCACTGTGCGAATACCTATGGTCACTTTTTAAAGAAATAAATGAAATTTTCCAGTCAAGGCTAGTTCGAAACGATCCAAACTAGTTTTGACTAAGAGAATATAATTAATCCCCGAAAACGAAGATAAAACTATGGACAACGAAACGGCCGTCCAGTGCTTCCAGGTTTTC